TCATATTATTTTATCTGTAACCAAAAAGAGTAACATGTTTATTTGCGTAAATATTATGTAACATTATTATCTTAAAATTCAAATGAGATTTTTAAACCCACATAATACATATACATATTAATATTAATAATTAACAGTACTTACTTATGATTGCAAATCAACGAGGTGAACATATTATACAATATTTCTTAATTACTTATTACATTGTGCACAAAAACCATTAATTAGCATTTAGCATTTACTCACCCCGTTAGATAAAGACATTTTTGGAGGTTTTGCAGGACTTTAACGTTTTTTTTAACTGTTAATAAAACTGACAAAAAAAAACACTTCTTGTTCTTGCACTTGTAAATTAATCATAGTTTAAAAAAGTTAAAAAGGCAAAGTACAATATGAAAGCGTGTATTTGAGAACAAAAAACACATTTACTTTATTGCATTTACTAATATTCTTATAAATTCCATTTTTTTTAATAATAATAGACCATAGATAAGAGATATTATAGTAGTCATAGATGAAACACCCGCGGATGTGTGATGAAATGGTGATATAGAATCATTAGAATTCATAGATAGGGTTTTAGCCATAGGAACCACTGATGTGCCGAGCGTTGGTATCGTTGGTATTCCTGATTTAAAATAAAAATTAACCGCCAATCACCATCAATAGGTTATACACAAGTATATAACTTTATTATTAAATAAAAGTAATATATTTTATTTCGGTAATCATTTTTAAATAAATCGGAATAAAACGAAATTCAATGTACATAAAAATTCGTGATATAAATGCAAAGCCTGAGGAAAATGATATTTTTATTGATATCTCCAAAACCTCCAAAATCGAACAGATTAAGAAAAAAATTGAAGAAGAACGGGGAATTAAAATAAATTGTCAAAGACTGTTATATAAAGGAAAGCAGGTATTTTAGCGACAATTATTTACGTGATCAAGTTGTAATTGTACAGAATTTTCAGCTAGAAAACGATTTACGTGTTTTTGATTATGATGTACAATTAAACGATGTTATTCAACTTGTTATAAGATCAGAGGAGCATATTAACAAAAGCACTGATAACAAAAAAAAGGAAGAAGGCCCATCTAATTCAACTGACATTGTAAGGGAAGAAAGGAAAAAAGTAGACAGCAAATATTTTAAAGTAGGTGATTTGGTAGATGCACATGATCCAGAATACACAGCATGGTTTGAAGGTATACTCGTTGCTGTGTGGGAAAACAATGTAGGTTTACAATCAACATTAAATAATGAGGATGTTCTTTTTCAAATTAAGCTAGAGTAAGTGTATATATTTTGTTTGTACAGAAATCGTGATAATAAGTTTATTATTTTTTTTTTTTAGAAACTTTGAACATTTTGCTGACCTAGAAGTAGAATTTAAAGATATCAGACCTAGATCTTATTACACCTACAAGAGGTCAGAGCTAAAGAAAGGAATGAAGGTGCTAGTTAATTATAATATTGATGCACCTGACAAGAGAGGCTTTTGGTAAATTAATGAAAATGAAACATTTTTAAGTTTATTTACAATTTAAACATTGCTCCTAAGGTACAATTGCATACTGACCAATGTAGCAAAAGAAGAAATTAAAGGAAACATTCTTGTTGGTGGAGAACAGGCAGCAATAAATGACTGTGTAATTAAGTTTCCAGATGAAATTATGAGAATAGAAACAAGTTGTTTATTAACAGAAAAGAAAACTCAGGACTTCAAAGTGGCGCCCTTAAGTGAGTAAATTTCCCTCATTTGATTGTCAATGTATCTGAATACAATTGTTAAAATTTATTTCAGGAAAATACAATTACAGATGTATAAATTGCAAAGATAACAAGAAAAGAAAATGCAAAGAGTGTGGATGTCGTATTTGTGGTTTGAAAAACAATCCTGAACTTATAATTCTATGTGATGAATGCAACTATGGCCATCATACCAAATGTCTCCTTCCTCCACTAGAAAAAGTCCCTGAAGAAGATTGGTTTTGTCCTACATGTAAAGTGGATGAAAATGAAATTGTTAAGGCCGGTGAAAAACTAAAGTTTAGTAAGAAAAAAGCCAAAATGGCAAGTTCGAAAAATACCAACTCAAACAGAGATTGGGGCCGCGGCATGGCGTGTGTCGGGAGAACTAAGGAATGCACTATTGTTCCAAAAAACCACTACGGGCCAATTCCCGGTGTTGAAGTGGGAACTAGTTGGAAATTTCGACTACAGGTTTCAGAAGCAGGAGTACATCGACCTCATGTTGCAGGAATTCATGGCAGGGAAACAGACGGAGCTTATAGCCTGGTCTTAAGTGGCGGTTACGAGGACGATGTTGATTTGGGCGATGAATTTTACTACACGGGATCAGGAGGACGGGATCTTTCTGGAAATAAACGAGTGTCCGGGCAGAGCTGCGACCAGTCGTTAACTCGCATGAATAAGTAAGTGTTTTTTAATCATTACCTAAATATATTAATTAATAGAATTTGTCAAATCAATGTATTACTGTNTTAATTAATTAAAAATTTTATTGTTTGAATTTGAAATGAGTGCGCCATCTGTTAATGAGTATAGGATTGTACACAAATTTCTTCGTTGGTTGAGCCACTGACCGTAAGAGAACGCTGGCATAGATTTGTTAAATGTCAAATGGTCTTAGTCTTAAATGTAAATATACACGTACGTATGTGTACTATGGCAGTTCCTTTTCGTCGTTTTTAGTTTATTTTTTGCCCCATTAGTGATTTTTTAAAATAAATAGTGTAAAACTTTAATTATATCAGAAAAAGTCGTGATGTCGTACATTTTGTTTAATTAAAAATTCTCTAACTGAAGTGATTTAAGTAGTAATTTTCACGTAACGGAATTTAACGAAATATTCTCCCTTCATTCAATAATGTGACGGTATGTGTAGTTGTAGTATTTTTCTAATTTTTCAACTTATTAGATAGTCGAAACAGGTTTGTAATTACTTGTATTTATTTTGTAGGAGTAACTATCTCAAAATACATTTTAGTTATTGAAGTTAACCTCACACCATTACCCAAAAGTTACGTACTTATTATAGTAGAGCTTGTTAACTTTGGCCGAGTTTTTGACTTAAACATGAAAAGATCTGGGGGTAAATTGCTTAATCCAGTTTTTTTTTATTAATTTTTTATTTTGTCTAACTTCATAGGTTCAGTTTTCCAAGATAACACCCTTAAATATATTAGTCTTATTACGTTAACTCTACAGAATGCCCTCTTAGGATTAAGTATGAGACATGCCAGAACTCGAGATGGGGACATGTTCCTATCATCAACAGGTATATCTTAATTTTATTGATTACCAAAATCACATTGACAATGTTATACTGTTCCCAATAATGCTTACTTTCACCTTTTATGATTTACATTTGTGCAATCTTCATTTGCCTTTGTAATAAGGCTGATGTCATTAACTATTAAAAGTGAGATTTGCTTACCTTCACATTTTTCTTTATGTCTAATATTACACTTGAATGTATGTAATTGCTAAGTATTGCAAAATTGATTGACTTTCTGTCAAGTGAATGTTTAATTAATATTCTTCCATAAGTTTCGTTCTTGGTGCATAATAATTTTAAATAAAATAAATTATTGTCTCCTTTTCAGCTGTTCTAATGTCAGAGGTGGTCAAACTGTTGGTTTGCCTTTCAATAATTTATGTTCAGGCAGGGAGCTTAATCCAACTATTAGACGAAGTAAAAAGACATATAATCAAGCAACCGTTAGACACCCTTAAAGTTTGCATACCATCTTTTGTTTATGTAATACAGAATAATCTACTGTACGTTTCAGCCTCACATTTGGACGCTGCCACTTATCAGGTATAAAATTTAAAAGTGGATTTAGAACATCTTAGTATATATATCACTTTTAGATATTAATATTTTCCTATTTATATCGGTATTAGTAAGAATCAAATATTACGCTACTTTGCGTTCTAATAAGCTGCAAAAATTGTGCTACTGTTTTTCCTACACGCAATCGTATTAAACGTCCTACTTAAATTATATTATTAACCATAAGCAATCTGTTATCCACAGTAATGTTTATTAAGGTTGATTTAATTGTACTATACAATGTGCATTCTACAATAACACATACCCTTTGTACCAATACATTCTTAAGCATATAATTTGCAGGTAACATATCAACTTAAAATCCTCACAACCGCCCTCTTCGCAGTTATAATTCTGGGTAAGAAACTCTTGAAAACCCAATGGTTGTCACTTGTCACGTTGGTGTTAGGTGTGGTCTTGGTTCAACTGGCCCAAAGTGATAAGCCCCATCAGATTACGTACGGCCCTGAACAGAACCGTCTTCTTGGATTTTCAGCAGCCCTAGGAGCCTGTTTACTCTCCGGCTTTGCTGGAATCTACTTCGAGAAAATACTGAAAGGTGCAGACGTTTCGGTCTGGATGCGAAACATTCAGCTTAGTTTATGTTCCATTCCGTTTGGTTTAATCACGTGTTTTATCTACGATTCGGAATTAATAAAAACGCACGGTTTCTTTTTCGGCTATGATAGATTCATAAAGTACCTGATTTTGTTACAGGCCGGTGGAGGACTTTTAGTCGCCATGGTGGTTAAATATGCGGACAATATCCTTAAAGGTTTCGCAACTTCTTTAGCCATAATAATTTCTTGTGTCGCGTCCATTTATTTGTTCAATTTTAATCTCACTATACAGTTCCTAATGGGTGCCGCGCTTGTTATATTTTCCATTTTCTTGTACGGACACGTTCCCAAACCGCCCGTGGTATCTTCACCACCCTATAAAGTATAATACGATGACATTATTATTAGCAAATGTTCCCGTCATATGTGAAATTTTGTAAAACTAGTCATCATCGTTTTAATTTTATAACAAAGCTAAATTTTTAACTGCTGTGAGTTTTTAATATACTTATATAAAAAAAGAAGTAAGCAAACCTATTTTCACAATATAACATTCCCAATTACTTATTAAATTTTTTTATTGAAATAATTCTTCGCTGCCTACGTGTATCGATTTTTGTATGTATATTGTACTTTTAAGTGCTTAAAAAAAACATTAAAAATCATATATACATACTGCATTTAGAAGAAATGCATGAACATGCTTTTTAGGAGCTTTTTAAAAGCATTTCCTAATGATTACTATATTAACACAAAGATGGGTTAATTGAAATCTTGGTGTTATTTAATCTCATTAATTAACTTATCGTTGGTGCTTTTAATATAAATGTATTTCACAGTTATTGTGTATTATATAGCGTGTTTATTATACTTTATTTTATAACTGTACTAACATATTTTTCTACCTGTTTTCAATCAGTAATAAAAACTTAAGAAAATAATTTCCGCTTTCAGTAATTATCCACAAGTCCGAATTAAAGAGGAACATTGGTTTGTTTTACCTTTAATATTTCTATTTATCTTCATCTATCTTCTAAAGTAGCCATAGAGAAGGAATAAAGAACCTTTTCGCAAAGCCTTTATATCCCACTCTCATAATTGTCTACTTTTGTTGTTGCCAATGTATTACTTCATCGTAGGGATTATAAAGGACTACCTTTTCCATGTCCTCTCCATTTTCACACCGTTATACTTGAAAAGGTTGCCCTTAGACGGTACCTAACGTACCTAGTAGTGAAAGTAATACTTCTCTGGCTCTGATGGACTCCGTTTCTTTATAACATATTGGTGTCTCCTCATATAAGATAAAATTTGTTTTTGTACATAAATATTATTGAATATTAAAGATGATGGAGAGTTTACAAGTTATCTAGTTTTGCATTACTAGCTGAACCCCCACCAGTAATTCTTACGAAAATTGCGTATTCCAGTTAAAAATCCTAATTGTATATATTTGTCGTATACTTAGGTACATTTTATCTCTTCAATTATTTTGCAAAAATTAAAATGGAAAAGTTTCATCTTATTGTACTCAAAACTACACAAAAAGATATAATGTTCATGGGGTTTAATTATGTAGTTTATAAATATAAAACTACGTTAATAACAATAATATCAGAAGAAAAAGTTTTGTTTGAATGTAATTGTTTATATAAATTCAAATTGAAATGAAATGAAGCGTTATATACTTAAATAATCTGTATAACATTGGAGTTTGTTGGGTTGCATACCGCCATTAAAATTATAATTTTGAGAACATCACATTTTTTCAAAACGCACTACAAGTTATTAACAAATTATTATTTATCCTTTAGCCACCAAAATAAAAGATACATAAGAAAAGAAAAAATGAAAATAAATAAATAAGTATAATGCTGCAGGGAGGTGGACATTCGGCAGTTAAAGAGAATTCTTATTCTAAATTTATATTGTAAGATCTTCAATCATTATATAATTAGATACTATTTAATTATTTGAAAGTATTAAAATTTTAACTTATAAATCACTACTCAAAATATATAGGGTGTTTAAAAAAACGTATCAACATTTTTACAAATTTTTGCGAGGATTTTGTTTTGATACTTTTGAAATATTGAAATACATTTATGATTAAAAACTACCCTACTTTTGATGTTTTTTATTTATCACAAAAATAAATAAAGATTGCATGCCATCAGTATTATTGCCAACGAAATGTATACAACTTAGAATGAAAAATGCAGAAAATCATACTACTACTACATATATACAATAAAAATATTATTGTGAATAGAACTAAAATAAAGTGACCATCATTTTTCCATCTTTTGCATGACTTAATAGTAAAAATGTTTATTATTAATAGGAGAAATGCAAATTCTCATTATATCCCAAATTTTTTAAACTTGGAATACATGCAAATTGAATCATCGGAGGTGGACCACACATTAAAACCAATGTAGTAGAACTTGGAGGATACATATGCTCCTTGATCATAACATCATTCACGAATCCTACACTATACTTCCATCCTAAAATGTATATAACAGGATTAACATTACTACATAACAAGCTTTAAATTAGCAAATACCATCACTTGCTCTATCAATGGTGTACCAATGTTTGAATTGCTCAGGATAATTTTTGGCTACCTCTTCCAACTCATCTCGCAATAAAATATCTCCTTCACTTTGATTAGCAAATAATAATGTCAATTTTGTATTATCCAGGGGGTCTTTTGTTATATGTCGTATTAGCTGAAGCATAGGAGTAATTCCAGTACCTCCAGCTATCATGTTAATTTTCGACACATTTACTTCTTGAGGAGGATCGCTGCGTAGTTTTTTAATCAAAAATTTCCCTGGGCCAATGTACTGTAAACGGCCAGATGGACCCCTAAAATCAACAGTCTCCCCCAATGTCATGTTGTTCAAATATTGTGACATTTTTCCCCCGTCTGGAAATTTAGGGTGAACATTTTTGAAATAAACTTTTATCACCAAATCCACGTATCCATAATCGTCGTCTGTTGAAACTGGTGTGTAAGACCTAATTATTAAATCGCCTCCTACTTTTGCGCTTAAGTGAATGTGTTGTCCTATTGGAAGACCTACATAAAATAAACATTAAAAGGACAATTAACAAGTGCATTCATTTAAAATCAATTTACCCAAAACATGATTAGGTGAAGGAAGTCCAAATCTGAACCTTCTAGTGTCGTGATTAATTTCATGTCTTTCTATCAGTGGCAATGCATACTTCTTCTGAGGATCCTCTAAAGTAACTAATTTCTTCTTTTTACCACCTACAGTAAAAAAAAAATATCGAAACGTACATTAAATTAATTAGAGCTACCTTTTATGCCAGTTTTAGAAAAAAACAACTGGTATATCACTGCGCTTATAACGATTATGCCTATTCCAAGAGCAAACGGTAGCACCTGCAAGAAGAAATACGCCTTCATAAAATGATTATTTAAGTGTCGGGTGCTTTTCTAAAATAAAACCAGCAAGAATGTCAATAAT